GAAGGTTAAGGAGGGGCGATCTCATCCAGGCTTTCAAGATAATTAAAGGAATAGATAATGTCGAGTGTGGTAGGTTTTTCCAGTTTGATGACAGCAAGAGAACGAGAGGTAACTGACTTAAGTTGCGCAAACCGCAGGTGCGGCTCAGGTCGAGACAGGAATTCTTTACTTGCAGAGTGGTGAACGCGTGGAATGCGTTAGATGACGAAGTAGTGGCTGCCCCGCGCTGTGACTATCTTTAGGAAGAAACTAGATGCTTTCATGGACAGGCAAAAAGGTGGGGGGCAATGTTGACGTTAGGTACTAGACAGTAAGCAACTAGGATAGTCAAAAAAAACAAACAAAACAAAACAAAAATACAAAAATATTTAGCTTTAAGAGGGTTAGGCCTACCCTAAAATTAAGGAACGCTCGACCTCGACACGTGATATCGAAATGGGCGAAATCGCCTCTTGATATCACTAACTCTCTTGACTCTTGACTTGGTGCTGGATACCCCTTGACATAGGTGCTGGCCTGGTCAGGTAAGGTTACTGTGTGCACGTAATACTTTCATAATGCTATGGACATTGTGCATATGCACCACGTTTCCAGGGCAGATTCAGAAGTACAGGGTGTCCACGAAGTCCTTGATACTTTACGAACTTAACTAAAAAAGTACAATAAATCAATCCATTTTTTTGCATCAGATAAAGCACCTCAAGGAGTTTGTGTTTAACCCATTCTTTTCTTTTGTTTTATTTTGGGAGTGTGAAACAGCACTTGACAGAAAATGGTGACTCCGCAAGAAAAGGCCCAATGTGTTTATTGGTTTGCGGGGTCGAAGTCTGGTGTTACCGTGCAGCGTAATTACCGTCGAGTGTACCAGAAAAAACGCACCTACTGTGAACTCAATAAATAAATAAAAACCGGCGAGACAAATTTTTTTAAACCGGCAGTGTTTTGGGCAGGAAACGTGCAGGACAGCCTTCAGTGTCAGATGAAAAGGTGGCTCAGATTCAGCAAGCGTTTCTCGGAAGTCCAAGAAAGAAAGTTCTGCGTGTCACTAATGGTGCACACGTCGAAGTTGTGCGTTAACTGGTGGAAATTCTTTGAGTTACTCTTTCTGATAATAAAAAAAGCAGGATTGTCATATGTATCATACTTTTTGAGGCATTAAAGTTTTTAATGTATCAAGGACTTCGTGGACACCCTGTATTGTTTTTGCTAGGCTAGACTTTCATGCCAAATGATACTCAATTACCATGCCACATTAGAACACACAGAGCTCTTGTCGAGCTGACTTCATGTTGTCAGCTGATGTTTCAAACCTTGGCCAGGCCTTATGCACTTGCTAGTATGATTATTGAGGCCATAGTGGCATCACAGTTTGTTAATCATCATTTGCACAAGTAGGCCTTGATTTTTGTATAGTTTGTCAGTGAGGAGTAGCTGTTAGTCATTTTCCTGGTGCCACGATTTTTTCAAGAGCCCAAAAAGAGAATGGGAACTTTTTACTTGGTAGTTTTGTTGACGTATTTTTTACTTAACTTTATACACCCCTGTTTTATTTCCTTTGACTAACCTCTCAACAAAAGGTTCAATAATAAAAAAGTAAAGTTATGAATATGAATCTGCACTTTACTGAAACTTCGCCTAACAATTTCGGACCTGGGCAATTAAAAAGGCTCTTATCATCAGAGTCTGGTTTTTTCTCTCGAGAATTCACAAATTATTTACTGGTATATTAACTGCGGTCTTCGTGGACCTTTTTAAAATTTGCACGTCTTTTCTACCTATTTCAGATAGTATTTTTTACATCTCTGTATCTTGTGGATAACCATCACAAAAGTATTCTGATTCAAAGAATGCTTTAGAAAAAAAGTCATACATCTCTGTCCTGACAACAAAAATATATATAAATACAAGACTTAAACCTTTCACGTTACATCTATATGATCAACCTTGCAAAATAATGAAAATAAGCATAATTTTTGGCAAGACCTGTCATGACTCACATTTCGCTTGTTGGCTTTCGCTTGGCTGTGCCTGTCCAGTGCATGAGCATAGGCCTCAATGTGTTAAGTGACCCACCCACCAAGATAATTTAGGATTATATTGATACATAGTTGTCAGCCATGGAAAGTGTTAGAGAGAAGAGGAAACTCTCTGTGGACATATTTCTCTTTAATATGGGTCTGCTGCATAGGCGCCGACTTCTAAAAAAATATTGGGGGGGGGGGGGGGGCAAGGTCCTAATGCCCCTGAAATAACATTGACGAAATCCTTCCAGGATTCAGTGGGGTAGCTCAGTATTTTATGGTAGCTGCTTGACGAGCGGGGGGGGGGGGGGGCTGCTGGGCATGGAGATGGAGAGTGACAAGGGCCCTCGACCTTCCACCCATACCCTTATGTGGTGACGGGGATCTCTCAGTTGAAGCCCTAAACAGATAGGAAAATCATATGTCTCATATCTTACACGAAACAGTTCCCATGTTTCATGTGCCGTACTTTTGTTGTACTTTGGCCATTCTCTGGGGACATTGCCCCCCCAATGACATTGTTGTGGGGGGCACGTGCCCCCCTTGGGTTCGGTGCCCCCTTAAAGGTAATATTTTTCTCCCCTGATATCGCTCAGGTGGGATTTAGCGCCTCCGTTCCGCTGCCCTGTCCCCCCACCCCCTTACATCCTAAACCAAAATACGCCACTGCTTTCTGGGTAAGGCCGGCACCTAACGTTCAGTTCCTTGAGAAAAAAGAAAAAAATCCTTGCTTATCGATTGTGGCTGTAAATGGGAAAAAAATTACGAAAATGACCATTTCAGAAAATAGGCAAGAAATCGGTAGGTGAAAAAAAAAGAAGGTATAGAAGGGGAGCGAGGGAGGGACAACGCAAATATTTGCTCCCAAGGCTGAGACTTACTTGAGTGACCGGCTAATAGCGAGCGAGAAGGGGTGGGACCTCATTCATATTTATACAGCATATACAGGGTGGGCAAAAAAGAAAATCAAAGCTGTCATTTTAGGTGAGCCGTCAATCTCATTGTAGGTTGCCGATTCCGATTAAATTTGGTAGGCACATAGGGTGACACATTGGAGTTTTTAGGCCGAATTTCAGCCTTCTGGCTTTAAAATAACAGGAGCTATTTTCTGATAACCAACGACAAAATGTGCTGTCGAAAATAGTGATATGAACTTGAGGCCGGGATGAAAGGGAGGACCGAATTCATGACCTTCCACCCAGTGGCGTAGCCAGGTTTTCGCCATTGGGGGGGGGCTAAGCGGAACGTTGGGGGGTTTACTTCTCGTCGGGGTGGGGTGACGGACGCATTCCTACCAGAGTTGGCTTGAACCAAACTTGGGGAGGCTGAAACTCAGCCTCCCACCTCGCTCCGCTACTGCTTCCATCCCTGTATGATGCTATAGAGGAAGATTGGGAGGCACTGCCTCAAAGATTTATTGACTGAGCCATTGATCTGTGGCGTTCCAGACTAGAGGTTTGTGTTCAACAGAATGGACGGCACATTGAACACCTTTTCGGTTGAAATGAATCAACCTAAACCATATTGTGTGTTTTCGTTTTTTGACACTAGTGCATTTTGTTTTTGTTCTGTTTGTTTGCTTGCTCGTTTCTGTCAGTTGTGAGAAATTTCAAGTTGAAATAAAAAATGAACACTTACTTTTTTGGTGATGAAAAGTAAACTAAATGCCAATCTCACAGTTTTTGGCATTTTTATTTGAAACTCGGCACACAAACCCTAATTGATTCATCCTATATGTCTACCAAATTTAATCAAAATCGGCTGCCTATAATCAGATTCACAACTCACCAAAAATGATAGCTTTTTTTTTTGGCCCACCATGTATATTCCTACAACACAATTTCCTCTAGCGTTTGGGACACGTTCGCCACCTGGTTTTAGGAAGTGTAACGAGACACTTGATAATGGGGCTCTATGCCGCCAAACAGTTTGCATGAACCATAGGCCTAGGAACGTCCTTGAAAGTGGGGGGGGGGGGCAAATGAGATAGGTCAGTTCTGAAATTCGGA